ATTTCATAGGCATTGAATCTACAGGTAAATTCCTCAAGTTCTTAGAACAAGTGTCAATAGAAACTAAGGTCTATATATTTTAAATATCAATATTTTTGTATTTAAAGCATCACTGAGTTATAACTTTAGAAAATATGAAGAGAATTTTTATTTTCTTTTGTTTCCTTGACCACTAAACCTCTTTCAGCTAGACACCACCCCCCAAAATTAGAACACCATAAAACTTGGGGAGATTTAAGAAAATGAACATGCTCTCCCACATAGAATTAACAAAAGCAAAAACAAAATAKTCTAAGATTCTGAGATTGATAAAGTGAGAATAGAAACACACATGAATGAGAAGCTGGACAGTATTGTCAAAATCTGAGAATCAGAGAGTCAGGATATATTGYCTAGATGAGAGAATAGCAATCTGCCTTCTCCCTGGTGGCAGATTCAAGAACTATATAGTCTCAAGAATAAAGTTTACTTCTGTGACTTTTGCTCTGCCCTCAGTGACCTAAAAAATGATAAAACTCTGTGACAAAGACCACAAAGACTTCAAAACAACTCATCTCTCTAAGTTTCTTTCTATTTTTATATCTGATATTAGTACAAGTCTTGGTTTTTAATTGATCTTYTCCACAAATCTCCCCATCAAAGTTTGCTTCTGAGGCAACTCAATCTATAAGGAGCACAAAACCAACAAAAATAGAAGAATTACAACAAAATGCAAAATCGTAAAATGTAAATTAGGAAAACAAACATACATTTAGGAATGAATACAAAATTAGGTGGGGGGATAGTTAGGAAAAAACAAAGAATAAGGAAAGCACATTCAGCTCAAATTTGTCTTTGGATAAATTATAGGTGAAAGAGAAAAAGGAGATAATTAGATAGCAAAGGAAGCAAACATTTCTTGTTTTTTAGGTATAAATAGTAGGTGTAAGATGATATTTCATAAACATGTTGAATCTCTTAGCAAAATTWATCAGTGAAGTAGAATTCATCATTACTATAATCTTTTCAGGAACATAAAGTCCTGATGTTGAGTCATGCTCTTCTATGAAATAAAACACTGTGGAATAAATTAATATATTTCTGATGTCCTACTTAAGAGAATAAATCATAGACATCCAATTTATTAATCATTTTTACAATATTTTTATTTTATTTGCTTATTTTTAATGCCATACTAAGGATTGAACCCAGTGCCTCATACATGCTAGGCAAGTACTCTGCCATTGAGTTACAACCCCAGTCCCCATTTTAAAAGTATTTTTGAATGACATTTTCTCTTTTAAAAGAGGAGAGAAATAGGTTTAATGGATTTTACTCTGCTAAAGATTTAGGATGTCATATGGGTCTAGGCTTCAGAATGAATGCATACCCATGAATTCTAGGAAACATATTAAGATTGATGCTCCTTTAAAGAATGAGCAAGATCATTGCATTGTCTTGAGCAACTAATAAAAAAAGAATGAGCAGTAGAGTAGTGAAAACAATTATTAAAATGGATAGGTATTGGTCCATGAGTGAAGGTGTTTCCAAATTTTACATGTAAACTGGAATTAATTGATTGATTGATTTTTGCCTACTCTGGAGCTAAATGGTCAGTGACAGTTTTTCAAACAATGAAGTCATGAACTGAAATCTGGGTGGGACATGCTGGCCTACCCAAAAGAAGGAAAAAATTCTGAGCTGGAAATAATGTTAAGGGTGTTAGTAAAATGAAAGTAATAACTAAATTATTTTGAGCAGGTGGAATTACTAGCAAGTTTGTGAAGTTTTAGAGGGAAAAGACTCAGGATAGAACTTTTAGGGTTTCAAATTTTAACTAAAATAAAAAGAACAGAAGAAGAGGCAGGAACCAAACTAGCCTAAATTATTTGTTGATGATTTAAGAAGTTCAGGATTGGCACAGAAGCCAACCTGTTTTTATGATCAATTCCATTCAGTCTAAACCAATACCATTCTTATTTTTTCTTCACAGAGGAAATTCTGGAAAGAGCTGTATATTGTCATCTTTCTCTCTTACACTTGCTGAAATCTACTATGAATATCATCCACAAGACCATTCTTACTAAATTTACAAATGTCACCACATTACCTGAAGTGCTCCTTAGTTAGCTAAATGTAGGATAATGTAGAAACTTARAAATTGTCAAGGAGAGGATATCATGTGCATTCATCTCTTAAATTTCACAGAAGCTTTCATGATAAATGACGTGCCAACTTGTAGCCCCACAGAAATAATAATGTGAAGATTGTGCCATTTGTTTGTTTGCATCCACAGAACATGGCATGATTTCCTCACAATTAAGAGGTATATCACAACTGCTTTTTGAAAGAAGAGAAGAAAGAAAAGTAGCAAGGAAAAAGGGGTAAAAKGGAGGGATGAATTAAAAAAGTAGTGACGTGTAATAATTTGCWTAGAGTTCTACATGGTAGAACTTAGAAATGTCTGTTCTGGTAATGTTATTGAATTTACAAAAAAAAGTTTCAATAAAATAAAATTGAAAAGAATAAGGCTTAAGACCAAGAGAGAAATACATGATAAAAGGTAATTAAGTATAAATATACTTTTCTTTCTAGAATGAATGAGAAGAACTTTGCTTTAATGAAAGGAAATATCACAAGGATTTGTAAAGATAGAATGGAATTGGCATAGGAATATGTAAGCATTTAAGAGGACTTTGGATTTTTTTTTTAAGTAAGGACAGCTGAAAAAAACTTTGTTTGAAGGAATAAAACTTTTACATGTCAATTTCTTTGCACTTATCCTATTGGGAATGAAATAATAAAAGAAGAAAATAAGGTGATTTCTGAGAGTGTAGAAATAATTGCAGGTATATTGAGTGTGCACGAACCCAAGAGGACTGACTTAAAATTCACTAGCTCTCTCAAGGCTTCAACTAGGGATGAGGAAATCCCTCAGGCCATATTTATACCTCCACCATCTTCAACATACACTTGATAGAGAACAGTATACTCAGTAGCCAGGAGCTTTCTTCTACAATTCAATCTCAAGAAATTTCTACTGTGCCTCAGAATGCTAGAGAACTTGCTATGAGTTTTGTAGGAGGATGGACACACAACCATGGTCTCAGACAGATGTAGAGAGAGAAAAATGTATCTGTATTGCAGAGACAAAAGAAAAGTGTGAGAAACCATCCCAGAGATGTCTACAATATGATACTGGCAGATGACCCTGGCATTGAATGGTTTAGAGTTCATGACAATAACTGTTTTCTGTTACGCAGAGCACAAAACACAAAACTCAAGGGAATGAGATGAATCCATGGAGGAGAAAAAATGATGAGCAATGAGTAACAGTAATATGAAGAACTGACAATACTCTGCAGGTACCTGGTAAGAGTATAGCCATCTCACAACAAGTAGAGAGGAAGCCTCACTATCCTCAAGCTATCTCATACTGTTTTGTTACCAGTGTTTCCAGTTACAATAGCTCCATTTAACAAATAGGTACTTACATGCTCCCTTGCCCACCACCCCCCTATCTGTACTTGTCAGGAAATTTGTTCAATGCTCACACATTGCCTCTTTATTTTTGAATAAGTCAGAGACACTGTGATTGCTCCAGGAGAATTCCTATTCCAAATGATTATCCTTGGAGAAGAAAAAGGTTGTTCAAATTGAAAAACTGACTGTACAAAATGTTGTCATAGATTTAAGAATTGCAAAACTGTGGAAATCACTGTATTGACTGAACTGTCTAGTTTCTCCCAAATGCATGTTCTCTGATGAACTCATTCTTTGACCAGAGAATCAGCACCATTAACCACATATGCYTTATGAATTTCTGGCATATTGTGATATTTAGCATAGCAATAAGTGATGATTCATGGGTCTGCTAGCATAGTGAGTCATTTTGGAAAGTCTAGGGGAAAAAGAAGAAAGAACCTAATCTATTTTCATGAAATCCTAAGTATTTTTTCAATATATAACTTGAGATTTTCTTGATTCATGCATAATTTTTAAAGTGGCATTTTTGAGAATTTTTTTTCTCAAGATAGGGTCTTGCTAAGTTGACAAAGCTGGCTTTGAACTTACAAAATAAATTACAATCCTCCTGTATCACCTTCCAAAATTGCTGGAATTATAAGCATGTTCCRMAATGTAATGAGAACTTTCATATAAGATGTCAGGGGTCAAGTTTGGAGAAAATTCAGTCATCAGACTAAATAAGTCCTTAAATTTTCTTCAGTTATTCTGTAGACCTCTTCAGAATCATTTCTGTTATCTCAAAGTCTGTCTTCCTTGTCTAGTATATTATATTATTTGATTCCTTTTAAGAAATCTACTTTTTATCCCTTTATTTTCAATTAATTTCTTTTAACTGAGATCATGAGATGATACAAATTTTCCAGATGATGTAAAAACATTGTAGTATATTAATATATTGTGCTTTTGAATTTTAAATATTTCTATTTCTAGTCTCTTCTACAGAGTTCCTTTTACACTAATATTCTGGCCAGAATCTTAGTATTTACTAGACCAAAATGACTATTCCTCACCTGAAGGCAATTGAGAATAGAGCTCTGGAKGAGTAGCTGAAAACTGGGATAAGTAGGGACTCACCAAACTCTGATTAAATGCACATTTCCAATCAAAATAAATAAATCTATATTTTTTCTTTCTTTTTCTTTCCTTTGTGTGTGCATGTTGGGTGGGGGGTGTCCAGAGTTCTGTCAGGGAAATAACAGACAGTTCAGTAGTTTAATCCCATATCCAGGCGATTTTGCTGATCCTAAAGCAATAGTCCTGCCAGGCTTCTAACCTCTTATTCTGGCACAGTACCCATAAATGCCCTTACTGAAAACAGTGATATGTCTCTATAGAGGTCATTTCTCTTCAGTAATAGGTGGATGATATGATCTTAGAGTCCTATCATAAGCAGAGAGAATCAAAATGATGAATTTTGATAAAAGCAGAAAGTAGAGTGCAATAGCACTGACCGAGAAACTTCTTTTGTTTCCATCAGGAGGCTCAAGAGCACAATGTTCCTCTCCAAYGTGACAGTCTTCATGCCCTCTGTCTTGACACTAATTGGGATCCCAGGCCTAGAGTCTGTGCAGAGCTGGATTGGGATACCATTCTGTGCCATGTATATCCTGGCCATGATTGGAAATTCTTTGCTTCTGTTTATCATCAAATCAGAGCCCAGCCTCCATGAGCCCATGTACATTTTTATAGGCATGCTAGGAGTCACAGATATTGTACTTGCCAGCAGCATTATGCCCAAGATGCTTGGAATCTTCTGGTTTCATGCTCAAGAAATCTATTTTGACTCCTGCTTGCTTCAAATGTGGCTCATCCATACATTTGAGTGTATAGAGTCAGGCATCCTGCTAGCCATGGCCCTGGACCGRTATGTGGCCATCTGTTATCCACTGAGACATACCACCATCTTTACTCACAAGCTGGTTGCTCAACTAGGAACTGTTGTAGTACTCAGGGCTGCCATTCTTGTAGCCCCAAGCCTAGTATTGATAAAGTATCGATTTCAATTTTATCACACGACAGTCATCTCCCACACCTACTGTGAGCATATGGCCATTGTGAAACTAGCTGCAGGAAACATCAAGATCAACAAAATCTATGGTTTGTTTGTGGCCTTTACTGTTTCAGGGTTTGACCTCACATTCATCACTTTTTCCTACAGCCAGATATTTGTCACAGTTTTTCATTTGCCCCAGAAGGAGGCTAGGTYGAAGGCCTTCAATACCTGCATAGCTCACATCTGTGTCTTTCTCCAGCTGTACTTCCTGGCCTTTTTCTCTTTCTTCACACATAGGTTTGGTTCTCACATCCCCCCTTATATCCATATTCTCTTTTCTAGCATGTACCTGCTRGTYCCTCCATTTCTAAACCCACTGGTCTATGGTGTAAAGACCAAGCAGATCCGTGTTAGTGTGGTAAAAATGTGCTGTCCATAAAATCTACCTTGATTGACACCTGCATCCTTTCCTTTTTGTTCACTAGTAATAATCTCTCAAAACAAAACAACAAAAATGCCTGTTATTGAGATACCTGAGTTTTTCCCAGTTAGGTCGTATTTAAACAGATTGCTGTACTATAAGTCAACCTGGGTTGTGAATCCTACTTAAGGAATGAGAGTGAGACAAGCAAAAAGAACAAAATAGTTGATATTTGAAATATTTTAAAAATTTTGTCCCTGGTTGAGTTCTTCTCCTAAAAGTTATTCTCTGGAATGATTGAAATGAATTATGTATCTGTCACCAAATTTAAATGCACACAAGGCTTATTGTTCTAGAGTGTGCAGGCACTCATTAATAACAAGTTATTCATTCACTTCTATTTAGTCTCCAAGTAATTTGTAAAAATTGAGGAAGTATATTTTAATTGTTTACTTTTTAAAAAAAATATAGACCTCATGAGATAAAGTATAAAATACTTTATAAAGTATTTTTATACTTTTATTTTTTATAAAATTCAAATTTTATATTTTCCCAGGGTCATATGGATGTTACAGGCACAAAGACCATGGGAATGATGTGTTGCATTTTACACCTCTCTCTTTCTATTTCTCTCCATAGATACATATGTATGTGTATATATGTTTGTGTATTATGTGTGTGTGTGTGTGTTTGTGTGTATGTATACACACACATTTGGAGGTGTACTGGGAATTTAACCCAGGGAAGCTTTACCATAGAGCCTTTTTCATGTTTTATTTTTTGACAGATCTTCTTAATTTGCTTGCTTATTAACTCTCTGAGGCTGGCCTCAAACTTGTGATCCTCCTGCCTCATCCTCCCGAATTCTGGGAATACAGGCGTGCACCACTGCACCTGGATATACATCAATATTTTCTCTGCTAWTGACTTAATTAATTTCTCTAATTTTATTGCTAAAATTTTCCGAGTTTATAATTGGGTATTTATGGGAGAAAGAAGGAAAAGAAGGTAGGAAGGGATGGAATGAGGGAAAGATAGGAAGGGGAGAAGAGAGAGTTGTGGTTTTTAGTTAAGYATTGTGATTCTTAGGAAATGATAAATGAATGGCCAAGAAAATGAAGGAATACAAAATCAGGTAGATAACTGAAGAGATTTMAAATACAGACTGTAGTTTAAGTTAACTTCTCAGATTTTTCAGACATTTCAAATTTTTCTTTGCAAGATACAATGTGGGAGACTTGGAAAATATGATTAAGAAAAAACAACCATTAATGTTGTGAAAAGTTGTTGTTTTTTTTCAGATATAATGTGTCAGTGGAAGTTTTATCTCTGTAACACTCATACATGTATGTATCTACTGCATATGTGACAGCATACCATTTCAGCAGATGTAAAATATTATGCTTTTATATGAATCAGGRATATTATTAATGAAGATATAAAGTGTTTTTTTTTGTAAGACTAATGCTCTGAAAACTTATAAATAGTTTATTATTCCTGAAAACTCAAGTCATGGATGGTTTTTGAAAAAATTATGGAAAATACTCATATGTGTGCTGATGTCCATAAATTGATCCGCCAGTTTGAAATCATTGTATGTGTAAGAAATATTGTACTGTATGTCATAGAGCTTGTGGACACTGTGGCTGATTTTATGCATTTGACTATTTTATTGGACATATGTTGCTATTGAGGATTACATTCCAAAATACAAAAAACTATYTTTAGGAAATCTGTGAGAATAAAACTTGAAATTTATTGGAGCTTGTTGGATTGGATTATCAACAGGGCAGTTTTGTTTAGATAGTATAATTTCTTAAAAATAGAACTAATATAGCATTAGGATTGATGTTGTCATGAGGATTCAGAGAATTTTTAAGTAAAAGTTCAAGTAAAAAGTAGCTGAGGATTTGTAGGCATAGAGTCAAATTTGAGAATATTATTCAATGTCTATAAAACAAGAAAGAAAAAATTTTCTTCATGAAATTAAAAAATAATTATGGAGCATTTCCTCTAATATAGATCTATTAAATAGAAGAATGCAAATCACTTTTTATGGAGTGCATTCACTAGCTTAAGTGCAGCTAGAAGTTATTCTATATCAGTGATTCAAATATTCATCTGGAAAACCCATTTTAGCTAATGGGCGATATATAAAAATAGGAAGTAGAGCAGATTTGGATGGTCCACAATACTTCTAAGCAAACTTTAAAAAAAATTTTTTTTGTAGTTGTAAATGGACAGCATACCTTTATTTTCTTTATTTTTATATGGTGCTGAGTATCGAGCACAGTGCCTCACACATGATAGGCAGTGCTTTGCTACATAACTATAGCMCCAGCCCGAGTTCTAAACATATTTGGAGAAGTTTTGAAATTGAACTAGCTCTAACAATCATCCTTAAAAATKAGGAAATATAAGAGTTATATAAAAAGTACAAGTGAAACTACAAAACATTTGTTTGTCAAAAAATATCTAGTCTATATTCTAATTATTGAAATGTTTCAGAATGACTTAAAATTGCCAGGATTAGTTTCAAACTGACTTAAAAATTCTAAAAAAGAGCGAAAAAGTGGGTTACTGCAAGGACAAGAGGGTAACCACGACTTTAAATCAACTCATGAAATAAATCAAGACAATTATAAAATAAATTTTTAGACATAAACTGAGAGGGAAGAATGTATTTTATAAACAATAATTTTCAATCATTGTTAGGAATCCTAAAATTGAATCCCAAATCTATTTCATCAGTTTCAAAACTGACTTTAAAAASTGTTTGTATGGATTTTCAATTATGCTGATGACTATCAACATTTTTAACCTTCAACAATCTAATAGCTGAAATATGACTCTCCTGTAATTGGCATTTAACAAAGAACAAGCTATTCATATTGTGGAGTTTTTTTTTTCTTTTCTTTGTATGCCCCTTTCATTCAATACTGTCTTCTTTCCCTTCACTCATTTTAAAATCTGTGTCCATTTTTTTTCTTCATTTATAAATCTGATGAATAAAACTCTATTTATTATTTTCAAGAGCCATTCTTCAAGACTGCACAACAGGCCTTCCATCAGCCTAATGGTGTTTCCTAGTAAGGATTCACATGGTGGTTTTCTAACTAATAGGGGCAGAATTGATTCTTTTCCCTTGTATTGTTGGCTTTCAGGTGAGGGAGCAATAAAGCCCTGACCCTCCTATGTTTCTGCTGCTTTTYATCTAAATTGACAGTTTTGAAAGAATACCTTGTAAGTTTCGTGTATCCCCACCTTTCTTTATTTATATGAAGTTCTAAGACATACAAAACTAATCCAATGTAGAAATTTTTAAAATTATTGCTTTCTTCTTGAGAGGAGGGAAGGGACATTTTGAAGGRACATTTTGTTTAAGGAAAATCTCTTTCTCCTGAAGGAATAATGAAAAGAATATGTCAGAATATAAGCTTAAGATCTGCATATTTTTATGACATTACACAGTTACAAAAAAAAAACAAATACCAAATGTCTTCTTTGATATAATGAGAACAACTAAGAACAGAGCAGGGAGGAAGAGCAGGAAGAAAAGATCAACATTAAACAGATACACTAGGTGGGAGGGAAAG